AGCTTTTAAAAGCTTTTAAAAAGATTTTACTTAAAAAAAAAAAATTATAGATGAAGCCATGTGATTTAACAGTAAACGAGCCATGAAATGATAAAGCTACCATACAGCGTTCTTTGTCCTGCAGGTTCTATAATAGCAAGCTAAACTCAGGCGAAGCATTCACTTACAGAACTGAACAATAACCTCTGTGATGATATGGGCTGTGTTGTATACATGAAAAGCTGTTGGGCCTCTAGCACCAGTTCATTTTCAGATATTTCTGTCCTTTTCAGTTATTCCAGGGACATTTTTTCAGAGGGTTTGTCTTAATAGTTTTTATCGCTTTGCAGTGTGCAGTTTGTTTATATGGATATATTTCTTATTTTCAAAAGAACACAGCTACTTCACTAATTTCATAGCTCAAGCTTTACTTTGATCCATCTATTTTGGTCACTCTGAGAATTTGTCTCTGCAGCGCAGCGATATGATTGGCTGAGCTTCGACAGCTGCTATCAGAGATACCCCGGCTGTTGCATGTAAGCATGTGTGTTTAAATCTGCTCTGAATCTGGGTCACAGCAGGGCTGGCACGTTAACTTTCCAGTGACAAATGATGGGGATTGTTGTGCAAAACTTAACTTCATATCGTAGAAAAGCACCAATGCACATTTTACTGTACGCAGAGCAAGCAGAATTGTAGGTGAATGCCTGTGAGAGGGATGGTGTCAGTAAATTAAAACACATCCAAAGGAGCACTCGGTGAAGTCAAAATGTTTAAAGAAATAGAAAAGAGATCTGGTTCTTTTAAATTACTACTTTTAAACTATTCAGATTTTTTTATTCCCTTTTAGTGCAAACATTGAACCTATTAAACTGTTTTTATCCTGATCAGTCCCAGATGACTGTGAATCTAGGTGTTAACCATAAGCTGAATGTAGGCTCTTACTTTCTTCCTTGCAAAATACACACTTTTCAGGATTTAAAAATAGTGTCTCAAATATTGGGAGAGATCACAGGAGAGCTGTCTTTTCTGAGAGGAACAAGGCAGCGGGGCTTATTTTTGCAATGCTACCTCTGTACAAACCGTTTAGTTTGTCTCTGTAAAAGCCAGAAAAGAGCTGCTCACACCTGAATGTCTGCAAACCTCAATCAACTCAACACTCATTGTGAATAAGGTTGAGCTGGAATTCCACCGCGATGATTGGACAGAACCATTACGTCAGACAAAAACAATAATTTAGAATGTATGCAGCTACTGATACCTGGAGTTTTAGACATCTTTGTCTGCAGTTTTTTCTAAAGGTAATTTACATTTTTAGTAAGTCACATTCAGTGTAATTTCTTTTGTCATGACAGAAAAAAACCCTTTTTGTAGTAGGAGATTGTGCTTTTCTCCCCTGTACTGCTCAGAGTTTTGGGTTTGAAGCGTTTGAGATGGTTCTCATGATTATGTTTACTGCCAGTGGACGTTCTTCAACCAGCACTTATGGATGAGTGCCATTATAAGTGTAGTTGTGCAGAAATGTGTTGTACGATATAGCCATCTTGAAATCCACAAACCAGAACTTGATACAACTCCACAAAGAGTTGGAAGTATGAATGTAAAATCTTTCCAAATTCCAACAGTGTGGCAAGATTCTTGCTAAACATTGCAACATATATCGCATAGTTTTATGGCCTAAAGAATGAATGTACTTGTATCAACAGAAGTTGATGGTGTTCTAGTTGGTGCCCTTTGCTTATCGCCTCTATATCAGTCCATCCAACCACAACCATTCACTTATTTCTTCACAGCTTTAATGGATCGGCAAACCCAACAGGGGATTATTAGGCCTTGTCATTCCCAGTGCAGCCCCCATGATTATGGCTCTGTTGTAGCACACAAGGTGAAGTATTTTCTCAGTTGCATACATAAAAGGAAACTTGTAAGAGCACACATTAAACACAGCACAGCATTGCCTCCCGCTCCTCTGTCGAAGCGCTCAATGGCGTTCACCTGACGTGCTTTGAAGAGGTCTATAATTGTGTGAGCTGCCAATTAGAAGCTAAAGTTTCCTCAAGGAAAACTGGAGGGGAACTGTCATTAACCCAACAGAAGTGTACAGAAAAAGCAGGCATCTTAACCTCATGTTTTAAAGGAACCCATTCCTCTGGTCCATGCAGAGAGTTGCTTGATGGGTCAGCTTCACAGCGTGAGAAGAAGCTGCTCATCATCTTGCATGCCCTCTGTTTGTGTTTAAATTTAGAGTCGCGGGGGAGAGTGGAACAGAAGTCTCCAAAGCGTTTAATTGGAGGCCAATTTAGCATCCACCCAAAGCACAGGATGAGTTATCAAGTCATAATCTTTAATGGTTTTTAAAGAAAACGATCCCCAAATCAGAATAAAGCAACCGTAAAACAACAACCAGTCTAAACCTTTGGTTTGATTTAGATGTTAGTTGTTTTTTTTAACCAAGCATGACACGGGCGAACTGAAATCTATCTTTCAGAGAGCTGCTTTGCTGGAGAAAGCAGTCCGTGTGTTGCTGTGACAGCGCCTCATCCCAAGAGATTTTTAGATTGAGTGACAAATTCCGAAATGAGCCATCGTTCAGCCACCTCAAGTATCTTCATTTTGCCTTGGTGAAATATGTCCTTGCTCTTAGCACCCCTGCTGGGTTAAGGACGGGTTGTTCTTGCTCAGCGTTCTTCAGGTTTGTGTGGTTCAGAATTTAATATTGAATTAATCAAAATGCCACAAGGTAATCATTTAATCTTGTTAGTCTCTAGTATGATTCAATTCATAAATCATTAAAAGGTCACTGGTTCAGAGTTGGTGAAAATGATTAAAAAAACATTTTAATGAACTGAAAGGCCCTGTGGACCTTTTTATGATAAGCACTCCAATAATTTGACACTCATCTTATTTTTTAAAGCAGTTAACAAAATAAACTGTATTGTGTATGTATAATTTCTGGTCTTTAAACTGATCAGATTAAAGCATTAACAAAGGTGAGGTGTTTTTAAACACTTTTTTTTTTGCTGACATGACAGAGTGTCAGAAATCCTGGTGGCAATAATGTGGCTACTTCCTCCATTTGGGCCAGCTCATGTCACGGTGTGTCGCCACTCTGATCACAGCAGGGGTTAAGAATAAGAACCTGCCATGCTCCAGGCAGCCTGAGGTTCCATTTCCATCATATGAAGAGCTGTTAGCTCCCCACATGTGTTGTTTAACTGCAGCCCTTCACCTACAACCTGTTAGCTCTGGACAGATGGACAGTATCAAAAGTTTGCCTAAAGATGACGCAGTTTCTATTTTGTTTACACACATTAGATTACAGTGTAGCATGAATATGCACTTCATATGTGATTCATCTGCATTTTATCATACTGTAATCTAATTTGACTTCAAAAGAGTCACAACAACATCTTAAAAATGAATAAACAGTACATATGCACCCTCTGTACTGTTATGGTAAAGGTAGAAAGTTAGATTGTGCAAGTCATGGAGATTTTAGGTTTAAAATGTGAACTCCTGAAAATTAGTATTAACCTTTTATCAGCAGATTAACAGCCACTGCTTTAATTATTTGCGTAGATTCATAGATTTGCCTTGACAGGCTCTTTAATCCCAACAAGTGACTGATTGTACTGAAAGCTCTTTGGGTCGCCCCTGTAGTTCTGCTTCTGCCATGTGAGGAGACCTTCAATCTAAAGAGGTCATTTGGATCTAATTATCCATTTAGTGGTCAACTAGTAAGCCCTTCTACTGAGGACAGAGGTACTCTTCCAATGAGGCTCCTTTGCCTTTGCTCAGCCCACCCAGGTGGTTTAAAGACCTGCGTCCTTGTTTCGGGTTGAATAAATTTTATCTTGTATTTACTGTAGACATATAATAGGAAGACAAAAAAATGTATTTCACAGGGGCTCAGTTTGTGTAAAAATAACTTTCTAAGCTATGTTAACAATGAGCTGGGATACCAGATCCATACGACGGTCAGACCCAGATGAGTGCAGCTCTATACATATTCATAAACGTACTCAGCGCTCAGTTAACACCTGGCCAACAGAGGTAATTACTTCACATCCGTTTGCAGTTGTCTTCCCGCTCTGTCATCAGCATTATTTCAGAAAAGAGCTGACGCTAGCAGAGCTGGAGGTAATAATATCGTTTAACGGCCAATAAAAAAAGCAAACAACAATCTGAGGACCCTGCATTAGGTAACTCACTCCGATAGGCTGCATGTGGCAGGCTCGCTCAAAACGCCATTATGACCAGTCCTACATTCTTGACGGCGTTGCACCAGGGTGATGAAAATGTCATTCAGTCAAGTGTGACGGAACATAAAGAGTTTTCTGAACCGGAGAGGTCACAGCTGAGCACGCAACCCTCATCCAGTCAGTTTGCAGCCCAACAGACATTTAGGCTCAGGTAAGAATAAATTGGGAGTTTTGTGGAAGGAGAAATCAAATTAAACTATATGTAACGGCTTCCATAAGAACTATTTTGGAAGCAGCACTGCGGCTTCGAAGCGTAATTCAGGAACAGGTGCGTGAAGCCAAGCTACAGGCAACTGTAGAATCAACTTTGATTCTCACCACATCCATGGTTTCAGCTTGAGTTTTCATCAGCATTTCAGTGTCCAGATCTGCATTCTTGTTTATTTACGGTACATTTGGTTGCGTTGAGGGTAGTAAACCAGGCAGCCTCTAAAAAGAAATTGCTCAATGCCTCTGTTTTTTTCTAACAAGGCATATGTGACTAGATTATGGACAAACTACATTTAAAAATAAAACAACAAAAAAAGCAGTCAAGTTCATATGAGGTTACAATCTATTGTGAAAGGGACGCGTTATTAAAAGTCACCGCCCTACAGGCTGGAGGACCTAGAGGAGGGTTATTTCTCATTCCTCCGGAGCCTGATGAGCATCTACACTGCCCATCTGCGTTTTTTCTCCTTCAGACAAAGTTTAATACTGGGCTATACTGTCATAACATGCTTAATAACATATATTTTTTCTTTTCATATTGTATTGTAGGAGTACCTGGACATGGAGAAAGTTATTTTATTGTCTGATTATTGTCCCTTTGTTGACTCTCAATTCTGAAAAGAACCGCTGTTTCATTAATTACTCCTACACCAGTAAAACAAAGAAAGTGGTACAGGGACTAGGTCTTTTTTTTTTAGTAAACGCACTTGATTAATTAACTGAGACAGCTGAGTTTTTTTTCTTCTGGCGACCACACAAAATGAGAAACAACAAAGCCTTAACTTGAAGAGCTTTTATTGCCAAAACTCCACAGGTGTACTATATGCAGGCGGATGAAAATTCAGTTTGGTAAATCTAAAACCCTGTATAAAAAGAAAAATAATCTGATCTTCTGCACAACACAGACAACCTTCTTTTGTAATTGTGTGATGCTGGACAGGCAGCTTAATGTAAGTCTTGTTTTTATTTCTCCCAAAAGTCTTTCTCAGAGAGAGGAATGGGTTCTGTTCACTGTGTTTAGCAGTGATTTCACATAGTGAAATACAGGGAGCATGAGTTCAGCCAGGCAGAAATAAGTGCTTTTGGACTGGAAGGCTTAATTTATGCACAGCAGTTTTCACCACTGCTGGATTTAGTACAGGAGGTCTGCAAAAGAGCATGCACCAATGAAAATGACCATATATTCTCATGGTATCACATAGTGAACCATTAGACATTTACTCTGCCGATCATTTATTGCCTTAAACCCCTATCGATGGTACATATTTTATGTACGTCTGGAGTATTTTCTGTTCACGTGCTGCAAGTTCTTTGTTGTAGGCTGGATATGCTTATGCTGGAGATATTCTGCTGGTTTGAAAATGGTTTGAGATTGAGTTTTTCTATGAAGTGTTAGGGAAGTGAAAATAGTTTGGGCAGAGTTCTCTTCTCTTGATAAAGCTGTAAAGCTCTAGTTAAAGGCTTATTTTCCTGCATTATTTATTGTAAATATTATAAAACATCAGCAGTTTTGTTTCCCTTCCTAAAAGCCACTTTTTTTTATTTTCACAGTTGTAAATTTGAGGCAGTTATAAACTTAACTACACACAGACAAATGTGTGTATGCATCTATTGCTAGAGGAGGATATTTTAGGGGCTTTTAAGCCTTTCAGGAAAGCAAAGTGATGATTGGCAGGAAGGGGATGAGAGATGAAGGTTAAGATGCAGTGAATGGTCTACGATGAGCCTCAGAGAGATGAACTGCAGCGGAAAGAAAAGAAAAATGCTCTCAAATGATCCCAGTGCAAGCAACGAGACAACCAGCGACACGCATATGCATCTTTTTAAAATATGTTATGGAAGCTTCTTCTTTTTTTCTAGTATGGGCATTTTTCTCACAAGTATGGGCAGCTCCTTTCTGCAGATGGCCAAGTCAGTCTGACACCGTCACATTTCTGTGCACAGCAGATGGTAGAGCATCTCACAAATGAATCTTACAACATTGGAATTGTGACTCATGCCCTCCTCAGCATAAATATGTTGGCTGGACCAAACCGATTGGACATTAGTGCTTGTTTAGCCTTTTTCGCCTGGCGTATCTGACATCAGTGCAGGATGACGCTGATTTAGGACGTTCGATTCCAATAAACTCACAATGTCATGTATGCAGATCTATTTTTTTTCCAACTGCACAAGGTTAGTGTTTTTGAGTTATGAAGAAAGCTACATTTTGACACTTGTAAGTGACCCAACATGTTACCACCTGCAAAGCACTGTGGCTCAGCCCTGGAGGCCTACACTATATACAATTAACAAGTTAATCACAGGAGAAAAGCGTACGTTTCATTCGGAGTCACATCATCTGTTTTTAAGCCAATTTAATGTAATGAATAGTGACATCGTCCAGCCAATTTGTCTACTGAAACACTTTGTCTTAGAAACACACACATATTTGTATGAACTGCCCGACAGTCGCGACACAGAGTTGTCTTACTTAAACTTGATTATTAGAAGATGCAGTTTCAGCAGCACCAACTGATAGAGTGGTGACATCAGCAGAAATCTCCACCCTGCAGCGATTAACGGAGGTGTAGGCAGTTCTGTTCATGCCCGTTTTGTCAAACCGGGCTCTGCCCTTGTGCATCACATTTAATGTGTGCAATCATATAAAAGCGATTGCAAATGTGCATGATGTATTGTTGACGTCTAGAACACAAAACTATTTGATTTAATCAAAATTTTTCCCATATGAGAAGTTTAATTCGAAGAAGTCGAAAGAGAAAAGTGGCAATAAGCTTATTACAGTTTTTTATTTCAGTTTTATTTATTTTTTTAGTTGATTAAAAAATGTTTAATGGACTAATATTTGCAGTTCTGTTTAGGGTCTTTGATACAAAAGCTGTTAAATGTTAAGAGTTTATCTTTGTACAGCTGATGGCTTCATCAGGAGACATTTAGTTTAAGGATAACTGTGTTTTGCATGTCACTCTGTTATCTCTGCCACACTTAAAGCAGCAATGCTGTTAATTTTCAAAGTTGTACCCAACCACAACTTTCCCTTTACTTAAAATCTAAGACCGATATTCAGTGTCTCAGCAAACAAAAACTTTTCATTCCTATGGTTACTTAACAAGTCAGGCATGGTTTCAGCCTTGTTATTCAGTCATACATCACCCGGCTGTGTTTATTACATTACAGTAGCACAGTGGTATTTTTCACTCTGGTGGTGTTTTGTCAGTGGATAGTGCTATGTTCTCTTGCCTGAAGCATCCGCATCAGCCTGCTTATTTTCAGTCTGTATGCCGGGCTCCGCCAGGAACATTTTTAATCCTAACAACTCCTCTTAAAAAGGAGGGACCCAGATGCCGAAGAATATCTCAGGAAAGATTTCCTCTTAGTGTGATCTACCGCTTAACTAACTGGCTTAAGAGGAAATTTCATGTAGCAGTCAGCTTTGTGGTTACAACATTAGGGATTAGAGAGATGCTGTAATCTGCTGGTGACAGTAATGCAACCTGATAAAGTCAGCTGCTAGAATTGAGCTGTCACACCTTCAGATAATACCTGAAGTTTTACACACATTACACATATCCAGTTTTATTTAGAACTGCACTGTAACAGTATGATCCCCCCCGGCGTCCTATACCAACTCTCCATGTGCAAATAGTCCATGCCCTGTTCTCCTGGGCCTCGCTGAGGTGCTGTGCAACATGAAGTGTGATTCATTGTTCCTCTTCACTTTCCCTGCGGTGTTTGTTTTAAATTGGATGAAAAACAAAATGAAAAGAAAAAAGTGACACCAGGTTTTTTTTCCTTCTCACTTTTGTATGTTTTTTTGTGCACCAACATTCCTGGGTGTTTGTGCATCCAGAGGGCAAACCTGCCAGCAGCAGCAGTCATACGGCAGTAAAAAGCTCTTTAGTAAACACATGTCCTCGTTGTTTGTGAATTCTCAACAACGCCGTGATGAAATGGCTCCTCTTTTTTGATAGTTCATAGTTTAATATGGATGTAAAATGTAATTAGAAAACGATCTAACCTCCCCGCTCCTGTGTGCTGTGCCTTTCAGCTCTGCTCTTATGATACTGGCTAAGTTAATGCCACTCTCAATGAGTAAAAATGTTTATGGCCAAGCCGCTTTACAACTGGCCACATTTCATGGTAATAACACCCACTGTGAACATAAAACCTGAGTGACTGCCAGCTTGGTCTTGGGGAGTGGCCTATCCTGATTAATGTAGATGCTGAACATATTATCGGTCTGAAAAATACCTGGCATTTCAAATTGAGGAACTACTGACATAAATGTGATTGTAACGTTTTGGAATTTTTCTGGGTCATTTGATGCGTTAAAAGACAAAAGCTAGATCAAGTGGCAGAATACCTGCCTTATTCTGGCCTGAATCCACCAGCCTCCTGTTTTCTCAGGAAAGGAATGTAATCTCACAGATGTATTGATCAATCTCCATCCACTTATTTTGGTGTGTGTGTGGGTCACTTATCCCTGCCAAGCAAATTAATGATATTCTAGAAAACTTCATCTTTAAGTAGAGGGCTGTAAATGAAATACAAAAGGTCAGATTACACTGTTTTGAGAACTCTGATGGCTGCGTAGTGATTTCATCAGTATTGCCATGTTACCAGATTTCCCCCCGTGTCCATCCGTCTTTACCCTCTGTGAATAGTATTAAGAGCCTCTGGCCCAGATCTGTCATTCCCATTCACATTCTGAGTTCCCTTCTGCCTCACTTCCATTGGCAGTGGACTGGGCCGGTCCCAGCTGAAACACCCTCCTGCTGTGACACACTGCTGCCCACACGACAGATGTGCACTTCCAAAATTCGCCCCGCATAACCCCACTGCACTTTAAGGCTTTAAAAATAACAAGCAAACATGGTAATACATTACCAATGACAGAACAGACTGTGTGAAGAACTCTCTGACTGGAATTGAAGAGTTCAGCATGTCTCCAGTCTGACTGTCTACAACAGAGAGAAGAGGATCTTGACAAATGAGTCAAATAAAGTGAAGAAGTTCTTATTTCTCTTTTGCCCTATTATTCCATTTCTATGCTGTCCTCTTTTTATGTGAATGCTTTCATAGAGGGGTTCTGCAGCAATGCAGCATTTGAACCTGAAAGGTTTTAAATAATCAAAATGCTGCTCAGTCTGTGGACAAATGTAGGCCAGAGCTCCTCTGAATGACAACTACCTTTACAAATCACTACAGTTCTCCTTCCTCTTGAGGATTACCCTCACACAAAACATGTGAACGCATTGCTATGGTAATGATCTAGACTGAATGCATGTTTTGTGTTTTTGGAGCTGTTGGATGTTCATTCTTTTATTTGATTAAATAAGGCAGGATTTGCTGACTGTTGCCAGACTTCCCCAAAACATTTTGTTCAATAGAAGTGATCCACAACACAATGCGGCCGTACAAAACCTCCCAACATAGTCAAAGCCAAACCCAATCTGAGTCAGCCTAATGTCCCAGTCTAGCTGGCTTTATACCAGCACATTTGGGATAAGTTGTTCTCTCAAGACTACTCTCCTCGTGTTTACTGATGAATCTTGATCATATATATTTTTTCTGTCTTAACAGTGTTCAGGTGATTACTGTAATAATGTCCTTCTTATCCCAACAGATACCATGACGACCGCCACTTCTCCAATCCTGTTGAAATGGGATCCAAAGAGTCTTGAAATCCGCACCTTGACTGTTGAGAGGCTCCTGGAGCCCCTGGTCACACAGGTAGTCCCACATAGTCTTTAATCTGAATTTAAAATGTGTTTTAAAATGTGCGTCCCCTCCCCTCAGAGCATGTTATCTAGCCATAGAGCATGTAATCTAGCCATACCTAAAGATGACATGCTCTGACTTGGAGAAATTACCATCATGCTCTGTAAGAGAGAAGCACAAGAACAACTCAGACTGATATTACCATTTAAAGCCTTATCCAAGAAAAAATAATTTCCGGTAATTAGTATTTATTTTTAGTCTGGAGTCTTTATTTGACCCTTGAACAATATATAAAAAACAGAAAACATTCTTAAATACTTGGACTTATTTACCGTGCAATAAGTCAGAATTATTTGTCAGCCCGCTTATGTCAGGTATATTTGATTGTGCACAATAGGGTTTTGAGCAAAGTTTTTAATGATGCAAAAGGTCTCAGATGCAAAGGATTTCAGAAACCGTATACATCAAATATGGTACATATGGCATTATAGAGACTATTAAGAGAACAGAGCATGTTTTAAAGTGCCCGTGGATGCCAAAACCTTGGGTTAAAAGAGCCAATGTATTGAGGGAAATGGCCATAAATTGGTGCATAATACATGGAAAACTTTGTGGTGTGTTTGTTTTTTGTGTTCACTTTGAATATGCGATGTGTGCATTATTAACTGTAATACCACAATAACCCAATGTGCGTTGTCACAGAACCTGTCACAGTAATGTTAAACTGTATTGGGTTACAGCCAGACACTACGGCTCATTGGCACTGACTGTGTTTACCTTCGAGCTAAACAGATGGCCTGACAGGACTTCACTCACCCCAGGTCATTGTGACAGAGTGTGACGGGGGCTGATGTGTAGCTTCAGTTGCAGATTAGTCAGTTCCCAAAAAAGGAAACAAAAGTTGAATTGATCCACCTTCAGCAGCTGTAGTTTTCTCAGGGAGGTTGTTTCAATAATGTGAATGCTTTATATGTTGAAATGCAGGTGGAGTTAAATCGTGGACGTTTGAACAGGTTTTCAAGTGTATTCCTCATATTGTTTCATAAACCCCTAAATGAATGATGATGCATTTCTTTTTACAAGGGTTGATGGGAATAGATGCCAATGAGACTATTAAGAAAAACTGTCCAAAATCTCTGTTTAACTTTGAGAAGTGAGTCAAAATGTGGCTCCATGAAATAATTATGTGACAGCGATTCCAGCTGCAGGGCGGGATGTTTGTGTCCCCTTCTGAAATAAAACTTGAGCGGCCCAGTTTTGACAGCACTGTGATCACTGAGCGTAGCAGCAGCCTCCCCCAGTGGGCTAGCGCTCTGTGCCTTTTGTTTTTATTCAAACCGTACTCCTCTGAGTTGATGCATAATCTTTGTGATGTCGTGTCGACCTTTGCCGTGTCTTCCATCTTCTGATTTGGATGCTTCCTCCGCACTAACAATGTGTGTTTGTGGAAAGCATTCTCACACTTTATTTGAACTTCATCATTTTGTCATAATTCATTTTTTTGTTTTTCTATTCAATTTGAATGCGTGTTAATAGCATTGTGCCGTCGGATGAGAAATGGAACACGACATTACAATGTCAATTCTGTCAAGCGGTCTATGGAAGAAGCCTTCACAGAGATGCCATTTAGCTTTATTTGCAATGGTATCGTTGGGCATGTGTTTGTGTTTGCTCTTTGTATGTCAAATACTGTATGTGTTCTCATTGACAGCATGTGTGTACTCCTTTTGAAAAGAATTTAAAAACGGGAATCGTTATGTTTCAGTGTAGTGGAAGCCGCCTGCTGAACCGGACATGATGTGGAGGGTATTCATTGTTGTTTTTTCTTCTGTACACTAACACAGAGCCAGCCCCATTTATCAGTAAACTTTCTCTGAAAAACTCTACCCCAGCAGATGGCTGCAAAGCCGATCCTCCACCGCGGTCTTTAGGAGAGATGCGCAGCATCTTGGTGAAGCTGCCTAAGGACCTGAGCCTCCTTAGGAATGACCAAAGAATTGACTGGGACTCACATATTCCTAAGTGGGCACACCTCTCTTGTGTTACTTTAATGCTTCATTACAAAAGCAGTAAGACATTGGCCGGTCTTTTCAAATAGAAGTTCAGAGGTTTAATGCAACTCTGTCTCAAATGTCATTGATGAACGCTAATGTCAAATTGATTTAGAACCCATTCCTAACATCGATTCCGTGCACATGACCTGACTGTCTCTTATCTCCTTTTTTTTCCATAATGAAAGTTGGCTCATTCCACAGTTTTCAGGATTGTTAAAACCACAGTGGTAATAGCATTGCCTTATCTCGCCTTTAAAAGCAAGTAGCAAACGACTGAACAAACCTTGATTAAGTATACAAGTGGCTGGCCCAATGCAGAAGGTGTTTCAAACACAGACCGCTGGCTCGTGTTTAGTTGCTTGGTGTATTTTTGTAGTCGGCCACATCTGGTGTTTGTTCCCACTGAGTGGTAATCTGAGTGACAGAAAGTAAATTGCTTAATGTCAAGAGAGCGCAAAAGGCTGATGTGCTTCTTCTTTTAACACGCAGTGTTTATTATAGAATCCTTTCTATAGCGATGCCTCAGTGCACGGCTGGCAAATTATGTGTCTAACTGCCAAACAATTTGTTATTTAAGGACAGGAGTCTTTCCTTTGACGTCTTCATTTCATGTGTGCAGAATAAACAGAGATTCTACTCCTTTCAATGTTAGGCACATGGCGTTTTTTTAGGCATCTCATATTTTGCTTCAAAGTACATTTTATGCTCTCTGCTTCCTTTAGTTCCCCTCATTTGGCATTTTTGTGAACTGATAGATTTTGCACTGTATCATTATTTAGCATCTACCTTATGTCCCAGTGACAGGACTCCATTCCCTTAACATCCATGGGAATAAGTGCAGTCTTAAGCAGTGGTACTTCATCTTTTTTTATTATTGCAGAGGAAGTGCGGGGCGTTTCGGGAAACGAACTAGACACTCTGATTGTTTTCGTGTCAATTTGGATGATTCAGTGAATTTGGAGGGGCCGCCTCAGGAGGGTAGACAAACAGGCTCACCCTGACAGTGCCTGATATAGCAGCCTCGTTCGTGTTGACCAAGCCTCCCCTCTCCCCGACCTGAGCGTTGTCCAGAGCTAATCACACTGAGGAGCTCACTTCATCAGTGTGTATGAAACCTCTGTACTGCAAGCTGTGTCAGAGCTTCTTAAAGAGTTACAAGGTGGCAGCGTTTAGACGAAGGTTGGTTTTAACCGAAACAAGCGTATGTGTTTTCAACAGCCGATGGACAAGCTCTGTGACTTGTGGTGCAGAAACACAAGAACAATTTATACTGGCATCCATAAATAGAGGGGAGAAGAAAATCTGGTCTTTTTTGCATAAAGAAATAATGTAGAAGAGGAATAGAAATTAGGACTTTTGCTAATTTTAATTATCAGTGTTACTTTTAGTTCCAACCCAACAAGGCACTTTCTGTATATATATATATATATATATATATATATATCTTGGAAGATCGTTTTCATAAGTCTGTTTTCATTGGGTATTTCCAGCTATTTGTTTAGTCATAACACGAGATTCTCCCTCTATGTGCTTTAGTGCAGACCTTCTCAGCCGTACTGGCTGTCCAGTTCAGTAGATTGGAAAGAGCCTGTAAAGCATTTTGTGGCCGTGCTTTTTTTTTCTTCTTTCCGTCAGAGCTGCATCCTAAACTTTGACTTCTTGGTGAGTTCTCATGCCAGCAGTCAGTGTAACCTGCTGCTCTAAATTGTTGCCTCAGAGATAATATTTTAGGTAATAGTCCTACTTCTTAAAAGTACTCTGTGCTTATCGGCACTTTGCACGCATTTCATTTACACAGTTTATACTTTAGTTGTTTCTGTGCATATACAGTTTTGTATATTTTGCTTTAAAACTTTATTGTTGAAGCTGGAAAAATATTAGTACTCAAGGAGGGAATTTTGAAGGGTGGAGATGGCCTTTAAAAGCAGGTGATTAACCCCCCCCCCTTTTCTTTTTTGCTTTTTCTGTGTCGTCCGAGCTCAGCTCAGCTCAGCTGTGACTTTTTGGATGGCACCTGACACACTTACACACCCTCAAGTCAAGAGGCTTCCCATAAGAGGAGGGAAGATGACAGCGACGAGGGGATTAAGGCTTCATGCTGCATCACTGTCATAAGCCATTAAGCTGGTGGAAAGGGAGGAGGTCTGGGCCCCAAACTTCTTAAAAAAAAAAAAAAAGAAAAAAAAGAAAAGGGGATGCTATACTTCTGAGAAGTTTCAGGCGCATTCTGACTCAGGCAATTTGAACAGAGTTTGGAGAGCAATCATAACATGATGAAAGCCTTTTGACAACAGTGCTGCTGAAATCTCAAGATAATGTTTTGCTTTGCAGGACGGGGGGTTCCATATAAAACCGGCATGCAACCATTAATGTAGTGTGTGCATTTTGAGTGCAGGCATGTAGGCAATGTATTTTTTTTAAATTATTTTTTTTAATACACTGAAGAAATTGACATGGGGCTTTGCACAGATCTTTTTTTATATATAAAAGAAAAACAAACTGAGGTTTGTGGTTTAAAATGTTTATTTTTTTGTTATTCACCCTTTGCTTGGATTATGATGACGTTTCTGCCGCTTTGGAGGCCACGTTGTTCTTGAGGGCAGCAGCAGTGTTGCTACATGGTTCAGTACATACAGAGAATAAAAAACCTAATGAAACCTAATGTTTTCATTTTTCATCAAACGAACTCTTACTCTTTTTCTTTAATTTGAATAATTTTCCTCATTGCTCTAAACAACAAAAGAACACATCTCTGTATAGACCTGAACCAGGGCACACCACTGCCCCCCCATCCTACTTCTGAGCCTTAAAGAGAAGTTACTGAAAGCTTGTGGGATCAATTTACCAAAAAAACAAGGTTATGTTGTTAAATGGTAGTATCGGCCAGCCAAGTTCGTCGCGGTCTTTTGAACACAAGTGTTCTCCGTTAATCTCCAGATGACATCAGACCAAATGCAGGGCTGATTTGAAAAGGATGAAAGCTCTGTCTCCATGCAGGCCGCCCCAGTTAGCTTCTGTCCTGTCATTGACGCCTGGAGGTGAGCACTTTCATCCCTCCTCAGGCTGTGTCTTCTGACACTTTGCTACTTCAGCATATGGCTGCCCCAGGGCCCTGAACAGCAGCTCCACACAGATGCTGCTTGCCTCCTGTGCAAAATTCACTACAAGAAAAACATGGCCTTAGAAACATAGCCCTCATGATGCAAGTATGATAAAAATGGGCTCTCTATTTGACTTTATTGTTGATTTGCGACCCCAAATGCAGTGCATATCTGTTTCTCATTAATTTGAGGAACTCGTGAGCTTATTGATGAAAAAAGCACCGGTGTGGCACGCACTCGTTTTACCATTTGCCATGACAATCTCTATCTCTGTTTCGAATGAATGTTTTCGTTTCATTACTTGAATTTTTTTAATTAAATATTCATTGAATTTTTAAAATTTTAAAATTTAAAATTTTTAAAATTTTAAAATTTAAAATTTTTAAAATTCATTTAATTTTTAAAATGGGGGCGGCACGGTGGTGTGGTGGTTAGCACTGTCGCCTCCCAGCAAGAGGGTTCTGGGTTCGAATCCCGGGGGAACCAGGGCCCTTCTGGGTGGAGTTTGCATGTTCTCCCTGTGTCTGCGTGGGTTCTCTCCGGGTTCTCCGGCTTCCTCCCACAGTCCAAAAACCTGCATGTTAGGCTGATTGGAGATTGGGGAAATTGCCCTTAGGAGTGAATGTGAGTGTGAGTGTGAGTGGTTGTGTGTCCTTGTATGTCCTGTGTGTCTCTGTGTGGCCCTGCGATGGACTGGTGGACTGTCCAGGGTGTACCCTGCCTCTCGCCCGTTGACCACTGGGATAGGCTCCAGTTCCCCCCGCGACCCCATGAGGGAATAAGCGGCATTGATAATGGATGGATGGATGGATGAATTTTTAATAAGTATTATAACCAAAATGAATAAATAACATTAAATGCAAATAATACAAATAATACAAATATTAGCACTGAGTAAACCAAGCACCACATGCTAATTGTAAACTCCACAAAACTTACTGTTTTATTCCATTAACTTTTAACATAAAAGCATGTTGCTACGTTTTAGTTGTGGAATTGCAAATAGAATAGTGGAGTACCGTCTGGCCCCACAGTGAAATCCCCAGGCTAGTGCCATCCTGCATAAGGATTTCAAGGTTTTTGATAAAAGTTTTTAAGATTTTTAAGGGAGTTTGAGCCGTGTCTCTCTTACCTGCGACATCAGAGCTACACTTCCATCCTTATAAAACATTTAAATTATCGTCATCAAGGACAAAGCAAATGTTTGTCTTTGGTTTGTTAGATTTTCAGTGATCTCCTAAATCGGACCCATCGACGCAGGCAGAGAGAACATTTGCAAAGCCACCCCAGAGGTTATACCAGCAGCTGCTCAAATAAGAGAAGTTTGATCATCAATAAACTGTGCTAAAATCAAGACCGTGAAACTGCGTCACACTTTGAGAACAAACCCTTTAAACTGTCCCATTTAGTTTAATATTGAATTACTTTGCCTCTTTATTTGTTTTGAGTTCAGTTAGATGAACCGCAGCTCAGATTAGAACAAAGAAAAACGAGTACTTATTTATTGGGTCTGCTTTGGATTTATCCCCGATCAGATGGATATCAAATTTCCCTCCACAGTGTAACACTGCTCACATTTCTTGTTGTTTGTCATGCTTCAGGATCACCCAGAGCGAGGGGGAGTACTTGCAAGCCCCACACGTTCACCCAAACATTCACCCCAGAGATATTATTTGTGACTAAGATTTCAGAAAAACGAAGTTGCCAGTGCTTTGTTTTGCAGCTTTTGGAGAAAAAGCAAATCAAAGAAGATAACGCGCTGATCTGTAAGACATAGTGGGCGTCGCGCGACTCCTTGTAATTAAGGATGCTGGGGTTCTCTTATAAATACTTCAGTGGAAGAACAATAAAGCGTCTTGGTTTTGGCTCTGATAAGGAACTGAAGAATCTCTTCCGTCACATGCTCCTCTGCCTTGCTCACAGAAGCCCTTTCTTTCCTGTGGATTACTGGGCTGACTCCTTTTGACACTGATCAGTGCGACCATACCTCAGTCTTGAAGGCATTTCCGAATGCGATTTGACAAAAGCGTTCATGTGGTTTGTCTTTGAAGTTTGCCGCTTTTTGGATGGCTCGGATTCCTCCATTTGTTATGAAGATTACGAGACAACCTTGAGGCATGGCGTGCAAAATATAAATCCAAGTCAAACGAGGACTTGGTGGCATTTTCCACGTAATTCGGGGCAGAAGCTGCATGCCATATTTCCTGCTCATTTCTAAAGTAAAAGTGGAAAGAGCAAACACTGCTGAGGAAGTTTTCCACTTGGCCCGTCTTTACAAGCCCATAATTTGTAAATGCGTTCTTTCACGGGCATGATTTGTACCACTTAAATGAGCTGTTTAGGGGCGAGTCGTGATCTTTTTCAAACAAGCATTTGGTTTTATTCAGTATTTGTTGGCGTCACTTGTTTGCCCGATGCTCATTACTTTCTCTGCGGAGAGAGGGCGTGCCCTTAACAGATGTTCAGCTTCAGCATCAGGCTCATTATAAGGCTACGCTATAAATTGGGTGCATTCTTTTTCTTCTGGAACGTCCACTAATCCAGCAGAAAAGCGTAGCCAGGATTTGCCGTCCATCCCTGCTGTAGAAGTGTCATGCCACAAAAGGAACGGAAAATCGAGACCGATGGCGAATACGTCTGCAGCGAGAATGATAATGAAGGAGTGGGAGGATGAAACGGAGCCATGAGCTAAAGGGTTGCTGATGAGAAAATATTACGGGGACGATGAAAGTCTATAGCACTTAAAGGAAAATGACTGAATGCTGCCAGGCTAATCATGAGCAGGGGAAAATGAGTCATTATTCCAGAAAACTCTTACTTCCTCCGGCTAAGCTTTTCGTCTGTCTTGTGTTTTCTTGAAACTATTTCCAATTTGAGGCTCGTGACCCTTTCCCCCCCCTTTTTTTAATACTCCTGTGGTATAGAAAATTAATGGAAATGTCACAGTGAAAACGTATCCAAAGAGAAAAATATACATTTTAGTAACTTGCCAGTTTGTGACTGTGCTAAATAAGTGAACATTTACTATTTTGGTACTGTTGTGGTAATATTGAGAGCCATTTATCAGGATACAGCTGTCATTGTGCGGTCCTAAAGGTTGAGAACGCCAGAGCCCGATGCTGCTGCGGTGTTACACCTTGAACCAAAAGTAATTCCGATGCCAGTTTCATGCCCACTAAATCTCACAGCTTTGCACTTCAGCACGAGTTATCTTCAACAGATGTTTTAAGTAACATGGCATTGTGCAGAATCTGAGCAAATTCTGCTGCTCGGCAGGAGTCCCTGACATGTGCACTCAGGAGGGCTGCTGATCAGTGCAGCTTCCCACAATCACACTGATCACTTGGTATGTTTCCATATAAAAACGGAGTGTATTTATGAGATGACCCGAACTGACCCTCTACAGTTTGAAAAATGTTTCGTCCCCCTTCCGCCTCCTGCTTTTGCTCCTGAGCTTTTTCACCCGATGCACAGTTGGTGTGGATGACCTCATCAGTTAGTCAAAATTCAGATTTACTGCATTTCATTGACTGGATAAAGGATGTGTGCATACCCCACACA